TCTTTGTGGCAGCCCCTGAGATATTGAAACACTGCTAACAATATTCCCCCATCACACTGTAATTATGACATAACTGTAATTAATGCTGTACAGTATCTTCCTACTTCATGAACTTTCTCTTTGGATAGGAGGATAAGTATTCTAATATCTCATGTTATATTGATATGAACAATGATCTCGTGTTCCCTTTCATGAGGGATGAGACAGGCAGAATTACACTACTAGGATTATTGGTAGTACATTCTATATGATTCTGGCTTTCAATCAGCTGAGTAATGCCATGGGAATTACCAATATTAAAAGACTCAATGAGGGGTCAGACTAAATGGAATAAATTAGGAAGAATCTCTGGTAAAATCATGTTATTTTTGGCACTGATGATAGTCCTAGCAGTTGTACTTTATGGTCAGAGAATGATTCCTCTGACTAAGTGTCCTATTAAGGCACCTCTGCCTATTCTCCACAAGTATTATCAGCCTGGGGACTTTATCATTGCTAGTATTACCTCTCAAGTCTACATTTTTTCCAGTCCTATAACGTTTCAGAAGCAGCCTTCTGATGAAACTTTTGATGACCTTTTGTAAGTACTGTAGGCTGAAAAATGAAATGCATCTTCTATTTTTCTAGATAGATAGATTTCACACTAGTTACATTCATGTAGGGGTTTAATCTAAAGTTCCAAATTAAAATAAGAGATGAGGATAGCAGATTTTTATTCAGCACTCTGCAGTATAAAAATTTCTATTTTTTATTTTTATTGAAAATTGCAAGTTGTAAAGGTATGGCAGTATCTTCAGCATTCAGAATCTTCCTATTGTCATCTCCTATCATGAATGTTGGACATAATCACCTATAATATAAAAATTATCTTCTATTTGGAAGGACTGAAAAACCATTAAGAAAAGTATACTAAAATGCAACTCTGGGGAAAAGATATTCCTTTGGAGGGGGGAATACTATGTCTGTCTGTCTGTCTGTCTGTCTGTCTGTCTGTCTGTATGTCTGTCTGTCTGTCCGTCCGTCCGTCCGTCCGTCTGTCTGTCTGTCTATCAACTTTCTTTCTTTCTTTCTTTCTTTCTTTCTTTCTTTCTTTCTTTCTTTCTTTCTTTCTTTCTTTCTTTCTTTCTCTACCATCTATCTATCTATCTATCTATCTATCTATCTATCTATCTATCTATCTATCTGTAAAGTTAGAATATAATAAACATAATAATATAGAGATATTCCTTTCAATTTATATTGTATATTAAAAGGGAACATTCCAAAGGAGGATCAAGATCTTACTTTACCAAAAAATTATAGGCCTATATCTCTTTTAAACGTGGATTATAAGATATTTGTAAAAATTTTGGTAAATAGGCTTATGAGGGTGGTGCATCATCTTGTGCATAAAGATCAATCAGGGTTTATAACAGGAAGGTATATGAAAAACAATGTTAGACAAATTATTAATCTATTAGAATACTTAGATAAGAACAACCAAGTTCCTGCAGGGCTCATATTTTTAGATGCTGAAAAAGCATTTGACCAATTGAATTGGCATTTTATGCTAAGAGTAATGGAAGAAATGAATTTTGGTGAAAACATATTACAAGCCCTTAAGGTAATATATCAAAAACAAACAGCACAACTTATTGTTAATGGAGGTCTTTCGGAGGTTTTCACAATAGAGAAAGGTACTAGACAGGGGTGTCCTTTATCGCCATTGTTGTTTGTTTTAACATTGGAAATATTATTGATCAAAATTCGAGAGTCTCAGGAAATTAAAGGAATATATGTTAATAAAAAAGAATATAAGTTAAGAGCTTTTGCGGATGACTTGGTTGTTACTTTGTCGCAACCTGATTATTCTGTAGTAAACTTATTACAGTTGATTCATCATTATGGCTTGGTCTCGGGTTTTAAGATTAATGTAAATAAGACCAAAATTTTACCTAAAAATATGTCTAGTCAGGAGAAGCAGATTTTGACTAACCTGACGGGTTTTGAGATTGTTAATAAGGTAAAATATTTGGGGGTGATGTTGTCTGTTTCTAATGTAAAATTATTTAAAAATAATTATGAAAGGTTGTGGGTCAGGGTACAGAAGGACTTGAAGAACTGGGAAAAGTTGCAATTATCCCTCATGGGAAGAATTGCAGTGATAAAAATGAATATTTTACCCAAGTTTCTTTTTCTGTTTCAAATGTTACCAATTTTGAAAAATGAGATTAATTTAAATGAGTGGCAGAAGGGTCTTAATAAATTTATCTGGGCAGGGAAAAAGCCAAGGGTTAAGTTTAAAATTATGCAAGACTTCCGTGAGAGGGGTGGACTTAAGGTACCAAATTTGAAATTATATTATGATGCGGTGGTTTTAACACTAATCAGTGATTGGGTAAATTTGACAAATTCTGAGATACTTTATCTAGAGGGATGGGATTTACTTTATGGGTGGCATGCCTATTTAATATTCAATAAAAAAATGGATTGGGCTTTTAAATCTCATATCTTAAGAATTTCTTTACTTAGGATTTGGAGAAAATATTATAAAAGTGATTTCAAAGTACCATTATGGGCTATACCTTGGCATGCGATAGAAGCAATAAAAAGAGGGGTTAAAATGGATATGGTGTCTTACAGACAGTTACTTAAATGGGATGGACAAAACTGGCAATTAAAATCATGGGAAGAGTTAGCGCAAGAAAATTTTATTTATTCTTGGTTCCAATATAGGCAATTATTAGACAGATGGAAGATGGATTGTAAGGTGGGTTTTCTTAGAGAAGATGAAAATCTTATCAAGCAAGTGAAGGATTCAAGACAAACCCACATTAAGAGAATTTATGCGGTTTTAGTTGAATTGGATTCAGAAACGGAACTAATTAAAGATTGTATGATAAGATGGGCGCAGAATTTTGGTGAGCCAGTCTCATTGGACACCTGGGAAAATATTTGGGTGAGAAATGTCAAATTTACACAAGCACAGAACTTAAGGGAGAATTTTTATAAAATGTTTTATAGATGGCACCTTGATCCACAAAAAATGTCTTATATGTACCCTGACGTGCAACCCAAATGTTGGAGATGTGGTTATAAGGAGGCTTCCTATTATCATATTTGGTGGTCATGCAGAGAGATAAAAGCATTTTGGATCAAAATATGGTGGAATATCCAGAGAATTTTTAGAAGGAGGGTAAAATTTACTCCGCAATTATTTTTGTTAGGTATTGTTACAGATTGTGATACAAAGGAGGTTGTATTGATGTTAAATTTGATTACAGCCGCTAGGCTGTTAGTAGGACAATACTGGAAGAAGGAATCTTTGCCTACATTGCAGGAATGGTTTCTTAAAGTAGCTTATCTGGCGGAAATGGCAAAGATTTCGGCTTTCTTAAAGCAACAAACGCAAGAGAAGTTTCTTGCTGTTTGGGATAAATGGATAAAATTTATACAATTTAGATTGGGTATACAAAAATATTATATAGTTTTTTCATAAGTTTTATTTTCATATATATTATAGATAATCTTTTTATATATATAAATATAAAGTTCTTAATCTAATTTTTATTTTTATTTCTTAAGCCTATATTCTGCTCTGGGAAGCTCAGGGGGGGGGGAAGGGAGGGGTGGGGGGTTTTTTTTTGGGAGGGGTGGGGGGTTTTTTTTTATATATATGTATTGTTTAGTTTTATTTTTTTTGTATATGTTGTCTCTTGTTTTGTATTCTTTTTTCTTTTTTGTAAAATTTATAAAACTTTTAATAAAAAAAAAAAAAAGGGAACAACAATTGGGCAAAGCAAGTTTAACAATTTTTTTTTTTATTAAAAATTTTTATAAATTTTTACAGAAAAACAAGATAACAATACAAAAAACAACATATACAAAAAAAAACTAAACATGACATAACAAAACTCCCCTTCCCCAACCCCCCCCCAAAAAACGCACCCCCTTCCCCCCCCGAGCTTCCCAGAGCAGAATATAGGCTTTATTAAGAAAGAATTTAGAAAAAATTATATATATAAAAAAAGAAAAACATAACACTGAGATATATGTATATATATATAAAAATAAAAGTTATAGAAAAGCTATGTAGTATTTTTTAATATCCAATCTAAATTGTATAAATTTTATCCATTTATCCCAAACAGCAAGAAAATTCTCTTGCGTTTATTCCTTTAAAAAAGCCGAAATCTTTGCCATTTCCGCCAAATAAAACACTTTAAGAAACCATTCCTGCATTGTAGGCAAAGATTCCTTCTTCCAGTATTGTCCTACTAACAGCCTTGTGGCTGTAATCAAATTTAACATCAATGTAGCCTCCTTTGTATCACAATCAGTAACTATACCTAACAAGAATAGTTGTGGAGTAAATTTTACCCTCCATCTAAAAATTCTCTGAATATTCCACCATATCTTAATCCAGAAGGCTTTTATCTCTCTACACAACCACCAAATATGATAATAGGTGGCATCCGAACAACCACATCTCCAACATTTAGGCTGTAGGTCAGGGTGCAAGTTTAACAATATTAAAATACACAAAACTAATAATTGGAAAAGAATACAAAGAAAGAAAAGCAAAAATAATGTATTATACTTTGTGATTCCCCTTTTTTAATATCTGCTGATTTGCAATATATTATAAAACTGTTATTGATTTCAATTAATCCAAATCTTCCTAGGCATGTAATTTAATATAAAATTGCCCTTTCACTTTATTTTTAATTCTGTACAGCAGTTATATATTCTTGTCCCAATTTCCATTGCTTTAACAGAAGCTTGTGTCCTATTGTTTTAATCATGCATTTTGTATTTTCATTTATGGAACATTTTGTTTCATTTTTATGGATAATTTCACCAATTGGCATGTATACTTTATATAGTATGTTTCAAACCTATTCCATACAATGAGTCTCCTATTTTCAAGGGGCCAGTTATGAGAATGATGGTGTCAAGGTAGAATTAGTAATAAGAGCTAAAGAATGTGGTAACCTGGAACCTATTGCTCATAACCTAGGATGTTCACTCAGAATTACCAGCACATCCTGGCCTTGGTATTTGCTGTGAAGGAACTCAATGGGAATCCTCAAATCTTACCCAATGTCAGTTTGGGCTTCCACATCTTAAACAGCTATTTTTTGGCAAGGGGGACCTTTCTTGCCTCAATGGAACTTCTATCCACCCAGGACAAGTTCACCCCAAACTACAAATGTGATATTCAGAATAGGATTGTGGGAGTCATTGGGGGACCTACTTCTGAAGTCTGTCTCCACATGACAAACATCTTGAGCACCTACAAGATTCCACAGGTAAAAAAAGATATGAAAGATATAGGTTTATTACATTTAAGTTATTTCATAAGAGGGAGACAGAAAATGGAAATCTTATTAATTCTGTAGGTGATGTATTTATGAAGCACTGAAAATAGTTGGGTGCTGAATAAATTGGCACACTTCGATGTATTTATAATCAATTAGAATACAGGTAGTCTGTAACTTATGATTGCAAGGTATCCTGGAATTTCTATCCTAATTCATGACAAGTGTGGGTTGAAGCACATATATGATCAGCCAGTTTCCAACATGAAACTTTGTAAATTGTGTTGTGTGATTGAGGAATGTTGTTATCACGCTTGATAGGTGCAACTCAGTGGGAAATAAAAGCTGGAGCCTGCTTTTGTCTTGATACACGCATTTATTCAGCTGAATAAAGACAGGTCGTCCCTAAAAGTAGAGGAACCCTGAGCACAGTGTAAAGCAGATATTTATACATTTCTTTGCTTTCTCTTGGTTACATAAGAGGAAGCTGGCACAGAATAGATAAGGTAAGAAATATAGAAATTGTAAACATTGTCAAGCATACCTTCTGTGGTTTTGGTCATGTGCCTAACCCACAGGCTAGTGATTTCCTTTGGAACTTTCCATGGCATCAAAGGCCTGCTGAGGCCTTGCCATCTCAACATAAGAGCAAACATCAAATTTATCAGATTCCTGATCAATAATGCTGCAATCCACTGAAATGGTGAGTTGCTTACCAACTGCCTAAAATACATTAATGTGACTACAGAGGAGGTGACACCATCAGAATTCTAGAACTGAGTTGTAAGTACCTAGAACTTAAATATCCTGTAAGGAGTATAAATCCTTTCATTCTCCTATCATCCAGTCAGAGCTGAAAAGGCTTCTTGGATGAGAAACAAAACATCCTCAAAGAAAAACAAGAAATCCAGTTTCCTCGTGAAAAAGCATCTTTGGGATAATTATGACCTGGATAACTGAGAATCTTCATGGACATTTAAGGATTTCCTGTATTTGGCAATAATTCATCCATATGTCACTATAGATTCTGCATTTGCTGAGCAACATCAGTTTGGAGTTTTTGAAAAAAGCTTTGGAAAGTCCAATTGCATGCATGAAGATTGCACTAGGTGTTGTTTAATAACAAAATGTCTTAAGAATGCATAATAGTTCCTGAAATACCTGTGGTTTACAAAAAATATTTTGCTTTGGACATTTGTCATAAGAAATATTTAAATGATCAGAAAATTAAATAAGATAAAAATCTGAAAAGAAAAAAAGAGTGAAACCAGTTCTTTTCAACTAAGAGTATGAGAATATTGATTTTAATTGTGTCTGACCTCTTTCCATTTTTTTTCAAGATTTTATATGGGTCTTCTTCAATAATAAAAGACAAAACCAAAGAAGATTTTTTTCACAAGATGTTTCCCAATGAGACCCATCACTATTGGGGCATTCTTGAGTTGCTACTGCATTTCAGGTGGATCTGGATTGGCGTGATTATTTCTGATGATGACAATGGAGATGGGTTTGTACAGTATGTACTTCCCTTATATTCTCAGAAGGGTATTTGTGTGGAATTCTTAGAAACAATACCCAAAATAACCTTTTCAAGTAATATTGCTGAAAGTGCAACAGAATGGTTTGCAACTTCACGTATTGTCACAGGAAGTACTGCCAATACTGTTGTCATTCAAGGTGAAATACATACTGTTAGTGTCTTAAGAACAATTTTCCAATTCTCACAATTTTATGATATAAGAATTAAAAGCCGAGTGTGGATTATGACAGCCCAGATGGATTTTGCATCTCCTGGTTTTCTAAGAGATTGTGAAATACATTTCCTCCATGGAGCTCTGTCATTTGCTGTTCATACAAATTTCCCTATTGGGTTCCAGAAATTTCTGAAGGAAAGAAACCCATTCTCAGAAAATAAAGATGGCTTTATCCAAATCTTCTGGAAAAATGTGTTTAATTGTGATTTCTCAAATTCCTCTCTAGAAGAGAGAGATGAAGAGATATGCACTGGGGAAGAAAGGTTGGATAGTCTACCTGGAACACTGTTTGACACAAGCATGTCTGGTCACAGTTATAGTATCTACAATGCAGTTTACATTATGGCATATGCTTTGTATGCCATAACTTCATCCAAGTCAAAAGAGAGGGCAAAGATAACAAACATGAGACAAGAATATCTACTTGAAAAAGCCTGGCAGGTAATATCCAAAACAATGTAGAAGGAGACAGAATAGATAGTGAAATAGTATGGCAATAATAGTATATGGGAACAACATGTTACCTAGAAGCACCAGGAAAGAAATATAAAACAAACAAAATTGTAGTTCTTCTTATACCTCTTAAATGCCTATGTAATTCATTATCAAAACTCCCAAGATATAATGATGGCTATCAGTTCTTTGGTTCTCAGCCTTGTAAATGGTCCAATTCTCAGAGCCATACATTACTACTGGGAAAACCATAACTTTGACTCTATGGACCATTGTCATGCAAGATGTAGAAGAAATATAACCTATCACTGATTCCCATTTTTCCCCTTCTATTTGCCAGAAAGTGATGGAACCAGATACCATGATCTTAGTTTTTTTTTTTTTAATGTTGAGTTTCAAGCCAACTTTTTCAGTCTTCTCTTTCACCCTCATCAAGAGGGTTTTTTAGTTCCTCTTCACTTCACATCCAGGCAACTGTCTTGAATAATGTCTCCTCCTTTTCCAAATTCAATACATGTTGTCCCTCAAAGATCATTCATCTTAGTTTTAAATTGTATTAGGACTATTATGCAAGTTCTCTTAGAATCATTTTTTTCTTCTACTTTCTCTCCAATTCAGCTCCACAAGTTTATAAGAAGTACCTCCTTTATAAACAGTGCTGGAGAAAATATTTCCTTTGATGACAAAGGACATATAATTGCTGGATTTGATATTTTCAGCTGGGTCACATATTCAAATAACACATTTACAAAAGTCAAAGTTGGATGGGTAGACCCAAACTCTTTCTCTTCCAAATCACTTAACATTCATGAAATCTCCATGATATGGCCCACAAGATTTAACCAGGTATATATATTGTATAGATTTAGGAATGGTTTAATCTACATTCTGAATATTCAACAAATGCGACTTTTTCTTTTACTGCAGTGCTGTCAATTTATTCAGTTGTTGTACTAGCAATTTGAATTGGGATCTGCTCCTTAGTTCAATTAGATGACCACATCTTGAGAACTTTTTGAATAACTTTTTTAAAAAGGGTTATGCTTCTTAGATCTTTCTCATTAAAACTAGTCAACATTTTTAGGAAACGATTGTATGACCTAGAAGATAAATGATAGATAGATAGATAGATAGATAGATAGATAGATAGATAGATAGATAGATAGATATAGATAGATAGACAGACAGACAGATAGACAGACAATTTATTTATTCTTCATATTTCTTAATAACCCATCTCTTTTGGAAAGTGTACAATGTACGATTTAATCAGATATACACAATATTTTATATAGATTTGAGGATGAATTAACCACATTCTAAATAAAAATATTCCTTAACTTATAACCACAATCGGGACTGAAATTTTGGTAGTAAATCCTAGCAGTTTTAAGAAGAGGCAACACATGACCAGATTTGATTTTATGACCATTTTAAAATGGTTATTAAGAAAATACACATCCATATCTAATAGACAATTTTATCAGAAACTAAAAGGACCATCCGAAATCACAAAAAAGTCATATATTTTGTTCATGGGACCACAGGCTACTGCAACTGGTTGTAGGTGAACAAATTGCCAATCACCCAAAATGGATTGTGTGACTGTGGAAGGGGAGCAACAGTAATATCTTTTTGGACAGTCATAAGTAGATTTTTAAAAGCCCGTCATAACTTAAAAGGTTATTAAATGGGGGGTGATCTACTGTTTCTACTGTAACATCAATAACCCTATTCAAAAACTGAAATCATGTTTTGAATTGAAATTGTTGCAGACTGGAATAGCTACAAAAGTGAAAATGTCAGGGATTAGAATATTCTCTAGTTTAGAGAAAAGAAAGACTAGGGTGACATGATAGCAGTATTCCAGTATTTGAGGGGCTGCAACAAAGAAGAGGGAGTCAACTTATTTACCAAAGCACAAGAAGGCAAGACAAGAAACAATGGATGGAAACTAACCAAGGAGAGAAGCAATCTGGCATTAAGGAAAAACTTCCTAACAGGGAGAACAATTAACCAGTGGAACAGCTTGCCTTCAGCAATTGTGGGTGCTTCATCACTAGAGACCTTTAAGAAGAGACTGGACATCTGCTTTTCTGAAATGCTATAGGCAGTAGTGGGATTCAACCGGTTCGCACCACTTCAGCAGAACCGGTAGCTAATTTTTTGTTGCCCAGGCCCAGAATGGACTTCCGGAAGTGGTATCCACACAGAGAACTGATTATTCACATATCTGAATCCCACCACTGGGTATAGAGTCTCCTGCTTGAGCAGGGGGTTGGACTAGAAGACCTCCAAGGTCCCTTCCAGCTCTGTTCTGATTGATTGATTGATTAGTTGGTTGGTGGTTGGTTGATTGATTGCAGAAAAATTCTAGAGGTGAATAGTAAAATACTTTCTATGTTGTTGTCAAAGAGCTGAGCTTAATATTAAGTAGAATAAGGCTATTGCCTTGGATAGGTGACCAATGTATGAATTACATTGAACCCAAATCCCTGCCTGCTGCACTTCAAATCTTAGCTTGGTAAGTATCTTCCATGATAACCAAGATTTGCTGCACCCTGTAAATGCTTGTCATGATCTCTTGGCACACATACCATGTAAAAGGAAATCATTATAATCTCTCATTCTCGTGGTCCCCACATCTAGAATATGTGTCTGTGTTTCAGTAAGCATAATGCCTCTGAGCACAGCAAAACTACCAAACTGATTTTTTTTTAATTTTTCATCTCCTTCACTCAGAAAAGACCTCATTCCCTATGTAATGACAATTGTCAATCTGGTTCTAGTAGGGTCAAAATAGAAGGAAAGCCATTTTGCTGCTATGAGTGCCTTCCATGCCCAGAAGGAAAGATTACAAGTCAGAATGGTAAGATTTTTTCAGTTTATAAATATTAATTATTCCATGAAAACCTGTGTGGAATACATTCAATATTTATGTAATATTGTATATGTTATGTGCTCTCAGAGATAATATAGGGATGGTTGGGATGAAGTGAAATGAAGGAAACTAATTTATCTCCTCCCTAATTAACTTCCCAGGAACAATGAACCTTGTCATCTCATCCTTAAGACATCTAGCCAATTAATGTTGATAAAAACCAGATAAATACAAAGAGGAAGGCATAGACTCTCCAAACTAAAGCAAGTTTAACAGTAGGTCTAGAAAGATATTAAGTTCATACTGTCCAGTTGTTCTCTAAAAACCAGCATTGCCTTTCTAGTTTTAAATTCCTCACTAGAGGCCTGTTGTGCTTCTCTGTCTAATCATATACCTACTACTCTATCCAATCAAATGCATATTCTAATTGTCATAAATTTGCATCACCTCAATTTATAGGTTATCCAGGCTAACTACAGTTCTGTAAATAAGCAATGAAAGTGTGGACTGGTCTCCAGTTAAAAAAACCTGCAAGATGAATAACTTTTCTCTCACCAGAATCTATTCTTTTCTCCTATTTGAAAATGATACCTTGAGATATTATGCCTTGATATATACTTATAATGAGCTAGGAATTCATTTTCCAAACACTGAGATGAAAGACTGGATTTTAAAATGTTTACTTTTACCTTATATCTATTATGTAATATCTATGACTTCAGGTGCCACTTTATTTTAATATTTTAAACTATGCAAACAAAAGATAAAGGTAAAGGTTTATCCTGTCCAGTTGAGTCTGACTTTATGGGTTTATGTGCTCATCTCCATTTCTTAGTTGAGGAAGCAAGTGTTGTCCAAAGACATTTTTGAGGTCATGTGGCCAGGACAACTATATGCCAAGGCATATGGACCTCTGTTATCTTCCCATTGAAGTGCTACCTATTTATCTACTTACATTTGTGTGCTTCCAAACTGCTATGTGGGCAGGAGCTGGGGCAAGTAATGGGAGCTCACCCTGTCATGTAGCCACTCAAGTCTCGAAGCGAGGTTCTCAGCTTTCCAGCTGACAAGCTCAAGGTCTTTAACTGCTGACCACCCTTCCCCCAATGAAAATAAGCAAAACAATAAAAATACTTTGATCATATTCTGTACCAGTTCTAATATTTGGTAGCTTAATCAAAGAGTTAATCTAAGTACAGTTCTATATAGTTTCATTGACTATATTGTAGAGGTTGTCTATTAGTGCCCTTCGAATAGCTAATAATTGTATATCACTTAGGGAGCCTCCAATTGAAGCATTAACCAGAGGCCATTATGCTATATTCTCATTTTTTTTTCAATATTGCATATGTCTTAATTAAAACAGTATCTTCTACATTGTAATAAAAGCAATGTATTCATTCATTATTTCATTCATTTCCACAGATATGGATGATTGTTTGCCATGCCCAGAAGGACAGTATCCAAACAATAACCATGACTCATGTCTTCCAAAACATACAGTTTTCTTGTCTTATGAAGATCCATTAGGAATCAGTTTGGTCACTGCTGAAATTGTCTTTGCTTGCATTGCCACTGTGGTGCTTGGGATATTCATCAAATACCAGGACACTCCCATAGTCAAGGCCAACAACCGGAACATCACGTACCTTCTTCTTGTCTCCCTTTTGCTCTCATTCCTTTGTAGTTTTTTATTCATTGGAAAACCTGAAAAGGTGACCTGCCTTTTGCGACAAAGTGCTTTTGGAGTTGTCTTCTCAGTAGCCATTTCTTGTATATTGGCCAAAACTATTGTTGTGATTTTAGTTTTCATGGCTTCAATACCAGGTTCAAAGATGAGAAAATGGTTGGGCAAACCATTAGATAATTATGTTGTTGTTTCTTGTTCCCTCATTCAAGTCACTCTTTGTGCTATATGGCTTGTAACCTCACCCCCATACCCAGATGCTGATATTAACCTAGTGGCTAATGAAATCATCCTGGGATGTAATGAAGGCTCTACTCTCATGTTTTACTGTATTTTGCTCTACCTGCTTTTCCTTGCCATTGTTGGTTTCAGTGTGGCTTTCAAAGCACGGCATTTACCAGACAGTTTTAATGAGACCAAGTTTATCTCCTTTAGCCTGTTATGGTTTTGCAATGTCTGGTTGTCCTTTTTTCCAACATATCTGAGCATCAAAGGAAAATACATGATGGCTGTGGAGGTCTTTTCTATTCTTTCTTCCAGTGCAGGGTTACTGGGCTGCATCTTTTTTCCAAAATGCTTTGTTATTCTACTAAGGCCTAATCTAAATAATAAAAAACAGTTAATGAGAGGCAAGAAGTACAATTCCATAGTAGTCTTTCAGTGAAAGATATGTTCTCTCAAGACCACATTTAGAAACTAAAAGTTGTTCAAAACAAACACATCAGAAGTCATATCATGTCAATTCATCTATCCCTTCTGGTTGCTCTAGGCCAGGGGACTGCAACCTTAAACACTCAAAGAGCCCCTTGGACCCATTTCTCAGAGAAAAGAAAACAGTGGGAGCCACAAAACCTGTGCGTGCATGCGCACGCAAGGGGTGGAGACCTTGATTGAAGAGTTTAATTAAAAAGAAATAGAGGCTGCTGTACATGAGTTCTCTCTCTCTCTCTCTCTCTCTCTCTCTCTCTCTTTCCTCTCTCCCTCTCTCTTTCTCTCTCTTGCTCTTGCTCTCTTTCCTCTCCCCCCTCTCTCTTTCTCTCTCTTTCCTCCCCTCTCCCTCCCTCTCTCTCTTTTTCTTGCTCTCCCTCTCTCTCTTCCTCTCCCTCTCTTTCCTTTCTTTTTTTTCTCTCTCTCTCTTTCTCTCTCTCTTTCCCTCTCTTCCCCCCCTCTCTCTCCCCTCTCTCCCTCTCTCCCATCTTCTGCTAACCTGGCAAGCTGGCTTCATGCTATTCTGCAACAAGCTGACACACATTATTGGGCTGGCTCTCTCCTGCCCTTCCTGCTTCCTGCTTCCTGCCGAGATGCAGCAAACGGAGGAGCCCCACCCAATAAACCTGTCAGCTTGTCGGAACAGCATGAGGCCACTCTTTTTTTTATACACACACAAAGAGAGAGAGAGAGAGAGAGAAGGGAATCAGGGAAGCGCAAATGCCTCTCTCTGTGTCTGTCTCTCTATCTGCAAATGACAGAGGAGGCTGGGAGCCGCAGGAAAAGGCTCAAAGAGCCACATGTGGCTCCGGAGCCGGAGGTTGCCGACCCGTGCTCTAGGCACTCACCAAAATCCCTTCCCTTGCACCATACTAGAAATAGCCATCCCAACTTTAATATGCAGAACATAAGCAATGAGCTATTTATTATACTGAAATAGGTATTTTTATTTTCTTTCCTTTCTATATTTAAGTGTAATAATTTTGAGAATACATTAATATGCTGAACTTTGGCAATATTGAGAAAAAAATACATCAATAATCAAATTCCAGTGTCATATTTGTGGTCATCCTGTTTCTGCTTGTTATGCTTTTCCCCAAACTATTCCTAATAATAACACTCTTGGCAAAGGTTCAGGCCTATGGGTAGCTGAAGATCCAGGTGTTCCTGGTTCTTGACTATCACTTGAAAGATGCATTTCTTTTATATCATGCAATCCTATCAACCACTTGAAAAAGTGGGGTTTTACTAACCGTCCATGAATTTCATTAGAAGTCTTGGATAGTTAACATCATGTCTTTTCATCACAGAATTTCCCATCCCTCCACTCAGCACTAGAAGCCATCTGACCAGTGGTGCCTGTTCAATCTCTGGTCATTCTATAGTTTGATGAAAAACTAAGGAAGTAAACTGTAATGGAATGTAGTAAGGAGCTGGATTCCCAGAAGAGAGGGGATGTGTTCCAGAGAAGTGACAGGCAACTCAGTGCAGATGTTACATTTGAGAAAAGAAGGTGAGGACACCTGCACTCTAATAGTTCATAGAGTACATTGTAGTTGCATATAGTGGAATCTTCAGTCTGGCAAGACTGATGTCAGGCCCAAAACCAAGATTGACACCTTGGTGAAGTAATGGTTGGAAACTAACCAAAGAGAGAAGCAACCAAGAACTAAGGAAAAATTTCTTGACAGTTAGAACAATTGATCAGTGGAACAACCTGCCTCCAGAAGCTGTGAATGCTCCAACACTGGAAATTTTTAAGAAAAGACTGGACAGCCACTTGTCTCAAATGGTATAGGGTTTCCTGCCTGAGTAGGGGGTTGGACTAGATGACCTCCAAAGTCCCTTCCAACTTTATTATTATTATTATTATTATTATTATTATTATTATTAGTAGTAGTAGTAGTAGTAGTAGTAGTAGTAGTAGTAATTATGCAATTTTTTTGGCAGCTGCAGCACACTGCTGGCTCATATATAAGTGATTGTCCCCTAGGACTCCAAGATCCCTCTCATAGTTACTGCTATTGAGCAAGGTACCCCCTATACTATACCTGTGCATTTGTTTTTTTCTTGCCTAAACGTAGAACCTTACTTTTTTCACCATTAAATTTCATTTTGTTAGATAGTGCCCAGTGTTCAAGTCTGTCCAGATCCTTCTGTATCCTTCTGTATCCAGTTTAGTATTTTAAGCATAGATGTGATGTGTTGCTTCCATCCATTTGTTTAACTTGAGATTATATAGATTATAACTATATGGAAATTAAATAAATACCTATTTTAAATTTATGAACGTGTATTTCTCAATTGATAGAAAAATAAAATTAAAATATACAATATAGTTATATGACTAATTGTCCCAACAATCTGTCTGGAGATTCTCAGTCATCCATACTTGTCTCAAAGGTACTTTTTCAAAAGGCATCTGGACTTTTTTTTTCTTTGAGGAAGAAGAACAAAATATTTTGTTTCTCATCCAAGAAACTCCATCTTTCTGATTGGGTGGTGGTTGGAAGGATAGGTATTGACAGTTGAGACTGGATGGGAGAGCAGGACCTGTCCTTCCATTCTCCCCATCATCCAATCTCAACTGTCAGCACCTATCTTTCCATCCCCCTTCCATCACAATTGATGAAGTTTCTTGGATGAGGAATAAAATGTTTTGTTCCTCTTTCTCATGGAAAATACAGTCCAATTGCCTTTTGAAAAAGTCCCAGACAGTCCCAGCAATTGCAGGGTACCTCTTTTTCAGGACCTCCAAAGTGCCTTTGGATAAATCAACCCATAATCATCTTCCAGAAGAGATTAAACTGAAGTAGGAAAAATGCCATCATTGGTTCTGGACAGGGCTATGTTCCTGCATACTGAATTAATTTACAATATGAGGTCTGGTTGAACTAATCATTTCTTGTTTAGGAGCAGATGGCTCTGTGGAGCTGGGTGACTTTGGGCCAGTCACTGTCTCTCTCAGCCCAAATCACCTTTAAGGGTTATTTTTCAGGGGAAAATGGGAGGAGGAAAGTGTGTTTGATATGCTTCCCACCTTGAGTTATTTGTAAAAATAGTAAAGATGGGATACAAATAAATAAAGAGACGAACACATAAAAAAAATCAGTCCCAATGCCATTTAATGTCTACCTGATTTAGACCTATGTATTTTAAGACTCACTATTTCTAGATTTTAGAAAATGACTGTGAGTCATTTCCAATTAATTTGCACCCAGCATACCCACAGGCAATCTGTAGATCAAATTTAGATCAAATGTATATGCCACTCATTTGAACTAACAAACAATATAGTATACTTTTATTAAACATCAGCAACCATCAGAAACAGGTGTCTGCCAAATTAAGACAAAAAATAGGGGAAAACAAGAGGGAAAAATGAAGAGTAGAAAAGAGATAAAAGGACAGAGGACTTAATATCAACAATTTACATCGTTATATATTCATACATTAAAGTAATAAAACTATCCAGAGGAATTGAAAATAGTACTATTGTAGAATCAAACGTAGGACCCAAAAATCAATTATCAAGGCTCAATAATTATTTATTCAGTGTTCCCTGGAGGAATTACATCCAGAAAATAATGGCAGGGATTCCTACAGACAAAAGGATGAACTTTATACATTCTAAGAAAGAAGAAAATCATAGTCATACACATACATAGGTAATAGATGATGGAAGCATGAATATTTCTAATTAGCAAGCCTCAAGTTGCTTCCTCACTCTTGTACTGTTAGTCTCTTCAAAAACAGTTATTGTCTTAATAAAAAGAAACATATTGGTTGCATTACCATAGATGTTAGGGTTGAAAAGAATATAGAGCATATAAGTAATCTGATCATGGATTTGGTTGAAAACCTTCTGGGATAGGCATTATTCTATGGTTGCCCATATATAATTGATAGTCAGGAGTGTAATGGGAAGTATGGGTCATATCAACAAAGTCAATTTGTATCATCTGGAAAGGGTATCACACGCCAGAAAGTTGGAGGGATGTGGTCTAAGTCTTTTTCCCTTAGATCAGGGGTTCCCAACCCCTGGTCCACAACCTGGTGCCAGATCGTAGCCCATTGTGAGCCAGGCTGCGCAAGCAGCAGGCAAGCACACGAGTATGCAAAGCTACATTTTGCAAGCAGCGTCCATGCACATGAAACCATCCCCTCCCCCTTGCTGCCACTGCTGGTCCCCAGAGTCAGAAAGGTTGCGGACAGCTGCCTTAGAGTACTATAAATAAACTACTTTAGACTACTACTTCTGCTCCTTTGAGACCTTGCTTGTATAGTTTTGCTATTTGGACAGTGTTCTGTGGGTACTACATATCTCACCTAGCACCTTGCATTTCTTTCCCCCTCTGTGATGAAACTAGTATCATCACAGTAAAATTTAAAGTTCATATTAAAACCAGCTGTATCAGTTAAATCAACTATTATTTTCATTTCTGCTATTGTAAAAAAAAAAAAGCAGGTTGAATGTAGCAGACATTTTGTAAGAGTCCTCAAAACCTGGTTGAGCTTAAAGCCAAACCTGACTATATGTATTGAAGGCACCAAACAATAAAAACTACTAGATAGTAAAAGCTTTCATATAGCTGGAGAAAGAAAAAGGTATTTACCAAGTCTAATGGTGTGAAAAGTTTTGCTCTTTTCAACTTTTTTGACAAAAGCAAAGCAAAACAAACAAACAAAACCCTCAAATTGCTATAGCAGTTTCTGCAGCTTCTATCTTCATCTCTTTTTATGACTTTTTGTTTTAACTAGTAAAAAGTCTGAGTTCTTCTCTGGGTGGCCTTAGATATAGATTTGACAACCATTCAAAATTCTGAAATGCAATTGGTAGTAGGAGAGAGCAATTGGTAGACATGAGAGTTACCTTATGTCCAAGTTCATAGAAACTTAGGGAACAGTGACCAGAAATTTAAACAATTAAATAATAAAAATATGCAGAGTAGTATA